CCCACGGTTCTATTAAAAGCAACATAAAATATAAAGGAACTTTTTAAAGTCATTTGTATTTTCTCCTGCTACTTCATGGATTCCTATCAGTCTTTTCTTCTTTGCATCATCTAGGAGTTGTTGGATCGATTTCTCATGATCCCTTACTGTTTTTCAGAGACCTCTCTTTTCATGGTTACTGACTGCAATCTTATCTTCTATATCTGAGATTCTATCTTCACATTCTTTATTCTGTTGTGAACACTTTCAATAGAGTTTTCAATCTCCTGGATGTCTATTTGAATCTGTTTTATGGGTTTCATTTCTTTCCTATGTTGGGCATTCATTGTTTCCATGTCTTTCTTATTCTGGGCCTTCATGGCTTCTATCATGGTCCTGAGCTCATCTATTTTTTTGTCAGTTTCTGTTGTAGAGTCTTGAATCATGACTTTAATTTTGCTCACCATCTCTATGGTTATCTGGGAAATTATTTCTGTTTTGAATTTTTCTAGAGCCTGATTGATCTGTTTTGTTACTTCCTGTACTATGAGTTCAGGGTGTCCTGCTGGTTCACTATCAGACTTTTCATCCTAATTTGCCCTACTGTTTGCCATTGGTGAACTGGAAGTCTGTTTTTGTGTCTTGCTTAATTGTTTTCTCATTTTTATTTTTGTTGTTGAGTTGTCCTTGGTTTAATTTCTGGGTTATTACGTAAATCTTCCAGATATAGTTGTGCTTTAACTTTTGAGGCTCTAATGACTCATAGACATTCTCATTTTCATAATATCAGAGATAACAACTCATAAACCAATCACAATCCTTTATCCCAATTAATACAGTCAGCAACACAATAGGTTCAAGCACAACTTGCAAATTGAACTCTTGTGGTAGTCATTAATCTATCACCTTTAAACCATGTGAATTAAATTAAAATCAAGAAGCAGCCCCAAATACATTTGCAATGAATAAACTTTTCAATATAGCATCTTTACCATTTAGGATGGGGGCTTAGACAGAGTTAGGATGAGAGGAGTAGATAAGTAAAAGAATTGGAGAAGGTTTCAAGTGAATCCAGAGGACATAGAATGACCATACAATCTTTACAAAACTATTAAATTCAAAAGAGATAGACAGAGTGCAAGAATAAGGACAAGAATGCATCCCCTTAACAGTAATAGGGGCTCACTTTCCCTTGAAACTATTGACCCATGAGTAAGGTAAAATAACAGAAGAAAAGAACATAAAGAAAAAAGAAAAAATGATGAAAGAAGAAATCTGAGTTAGGGTGGGAGCAGGAGCAGAAAGGGAGATGAGGGATAATATGGAGCAAGAGACTGAGTTGGGGAAAGAGGACAGAAAAAAGAATTTGCCAAGTGCAATGAGGAAAAAAAAATGAATTTGAAGGGCCTCTTTCAGACTATATCTCTGCTGTCATAATACACAATGTGTGCAGCCATGTGCAAAGAAACAGACCTGAGGATCAGTGGAATAGATTGGAAGACACAAAAACAAATCCAAATATACTCAGCTACGTCATCTTTGACAAAGGAGCTGACCATCCTCACTGGAGGAAAGATAGCCTCTTTAACAAATTGTGTTGGAAAAACTGGATCTCAACCTGCCAAAGATTAAAACTAGACCCTTATCTTCCACCATGCACTAAATTAAAATCCAAGTGGATTAAAGATCTAAATATTAAAACAGAAACACTAAACATACTGGACAATAAGTTAGGCAGAACTCTTGAAGACATTGGCATAGGAAAAGACTATGAACAAATCCTCAGTAGCATGGGATCTAGCACAAAGAATCAACAACTGGGATCTCATCAAAAAGCTTCTGCACTGCAAAAGTAACCATCAACAGAACTAAGAGACTACCTACAATGTGGGAAAAAATTTTTACCAGCTGTTCCTCAAAGGACTATTATCTAGAATATATAAAGAACTCAAGGGGCTGGGGATTTAGTTCAGCGGTTTGGTGGCCTGCCTTGCAAGCGCAAAGACCCAAGTTCAGTCCCCGGTACCAAAACAAAGCAAAACAAAAACTCAAAACAATCAGCCCCCCCAAATATAAAGACCCAATTCAAAAATGGTCATCTGAAATGAACAGACATTTCTCAGACAAAAAAGTAAAAGCAGCAAGTAAATACATGAAAAAATGTTCCACATCACTGGTCATTTGAGAGATGCAGATGAAAACAACACTGAGATTCCACCTCACCCCACAAAGAATGGCTGCTATCAAGAAATCAAACAATAACAAATGTTGGCGGGGATGTGGGGAGAAAGGAACCCATCTCCACTGTTGGTGGGAGTGCAGACTGGTGCAACCACTATGGAAATCAATTGGAGATACCTCAAAGAGCTGGAACTAGAGGTTCCATTTGACCCAGCCATCCATCTGCTGGGTATCTTTCCAAAAGAACTAAAAGAATCATGTCACAGTGATGTATGCACACCCAGGTTTATAGCAGCACAGTTTATAATAGCTAAAACTTGGAAACAGCCCATCTGTCCATCAGTTGGAAACTGGATAAAGAAGATGTGGTTTTTCTATAAAATGGAATACTACTGAGCCATAAAGAATAAGAAATTAGATTCATTCATAGGAAAAAAAATAGATACATATTGAGGATATACTCCTAAGTGAAATAAATAAGTCACACATGTATAAATTCCAAATAGTTTCTCTGGTGTGAATAAACTATAATAGTACATAAGGTCCTACTGAGATAATTGAGAATGTGAAATAGGAAGAAAAGGGCTAAAGTTGTAGGGAAAGTGGGAAGGGTAGGGGAAATGTAATAAAGGAAAAGAAAGAAATATGAAAAAACAAAAAAAGAAGAAATAAAGTGATTGTAAATGGGGAGGGCAGGATGGGTGAGAAGGGAGGGCAGGGACAAGGGGAAAAAAAGAGAACCAAGACCTGTCATGTAAAGGTACAAGATCCCAATGATGAATGTAACTGTACTTATACCTACACTGTACCAATAAATTCAATAAGGCAAAAAAAAAATAAAGGAATTTTATGTTTTGAAAAACACATACTGTATCCAAAGGCAACTGTAAGCAAAAAAAAAATCACTTTATGTCATTTTTTCTAATAGAGAAAATGTATGTGACAAAGAGTAGTTTTTGTAGTGTTCCTTAGTTTACATTAAGAGTGTTCACACTAGCAAAATAGCAAGATGTAAAGATTTTAAAACTTGTCATCAGGGTCAGGGTATAATTCTGGGACAGAGCATTTGATAGGTTTCACGAGTCCCTGGGTTAAAATAAGCATGTCTTATAACAGGGGTATTACAACCCCAAACTCAAAACTATACTGTAAAGCCACTGTGATAAAAACAGCATGGTACTGGCAAAGAAACAGACCTAAGGATCACTGGAATAGATTAGAAGGCAAAGAAACAACTCCAGTCATACTCAGCTACCTCATCTTTGACAAAGGAGCCAACCATCCTCACTGGAGGAATAATAGCTTCTTCAATAAATTGTGTTGAAAAAACTGGATCTCAACTTGCCAAAGATTAAAACTAGACCCCTAGCTTTCACCATGCACTAAACTAAAATCCAAGTGGATTAAAGATCTAAATATTAAAACAGAAACAGTAAACTTACTGGAAGATAAGTTAGGTAGAACTATTGAAGATGTTGGCATAGGAAAATACTTTATGAACACACCCTCAATAGCATGGGAACTAGCACAAAGAATCAACAACTGGGATCTCATCTTTTTCAAAAGCTTCTGCGCTGTAAGAGAAACCACCAACAGAGCTAAGAGACAACCTACAATATGGGAAAAAAATTTTACCAGCGATTCCTCAGACAAAGGTCTACTATCTAGAATATATAAAGAATTAAAAAAAATCAGACCCAAAATATAAAGACCCAATTCAAAAATGGGCAACTGAAATGAACAGAGATTTATTTCTCAAACAAGTAAAAGCAGCAAATAGACATATGAAAAAACGTTCCACATCACTAGTCATTCAAGAGATGCAGATGAAAACAACACTGAGATTCCACCTCACCCCAGAAAGAATGGCTGCTATCAAGAAATTAACCAATAACAAATGTTGGCAGTGGTGTGGGGAGGAAGAACCCGTCTTCATTGTTGGTGGGAGTGCAGACTGGTGCAACCATTGGAAATCAATATGGAGATGCCTCAGAAAAGTAGGATTAGAGGTCCCATTTGACCCAGCCATCCCTCTGCTGGGTATTTTTCCAAAAGAGTTAAAAGAATCCCACCACAGTGATATATGCTTACCCATGTTTAAAGTGGCACAGTTTGTAATAGCTAAAACTTGGAAACAGCCTAATTGCCCATCAACTGGAGATTGGATAAAGAAAATGTTTTTTTAAAAAATAAATAAAATTGAGTATTACTCAGCTAGAAAGAATGAGAAACTAGAGACATTTATAGCTAAATGGAGGCATATTGAGGACATGCTGTGTTTTTTTTGGTCAGTACTGGTGATTGAACTCAGGACCTTGCACTTGTGAGGCAGGTGGTGTTACCACTGAGCTAAATTTCCAGCCCAAGGATATACTCTTATGTAAAATTAATAGGACACACATGTGTAATTACCAAATAGTTTCTCTGGTGTAATAAACTAAAAGTGTAATTAAGAATCAAAATGTATAATTTATATTGTGTAATCACAAAAAAGGTCTAAAGGTGTAGGTGAAGTGGGAGGGGTAGGGGAAAGGTAAGAATGGAAAAGAAAAAATAAGAGAAAAGGAAAAAAATTGAAAAAATTCTTTGTAAATGGGGAAGGGTGGAGGGGGTGAGGGGAGGCCAGGAGAATGGGGAAAAAATAAGAACCAACTTATGTAAAGGCACAAGATCCCAATGATGAATGTAAATGTATTGTGTACATAAAATGTACCAATAAAGAAAAAATCAATCAAACAAACAAAAAACAAAACAACAGTGGCTTCTGAGACAGAACTAGCACCTGACATATGCTCACTTTCTACAAATCAAAACAAAGTATGACACCCACGCAGAGAGCATTGCAAGTTTATTATTTTATTTCAATATTCAAGAACAGTGCGTGGTCCTGTGGCCCCATTTCGCAGCCCCTGCTGCCCAGGTGTAGCCACAGGTGAGTTCACTCAGCCAACACCAGCACAAGAGAGGGCAGGCGCTCTTTTGAAAACTTGGAGGGTTTATTTCCAGAATTTTGTTCCCTTTTCTTCTAATATATTAATAGGTATTACTTTGAACCCACACTAAACATTCAGAATTAGAATGGCATTAAAAAGATGCATTTTGGGATTATGTAGACTATATATTCCTCATCTTCCTTCTAAGGGAGAGTGGGGCCAGTGTGGGAGTCTTTGGAAGGTTTCTAAAGATGAGCTAAATCAAAACACAGGGGTCAGTGGGTCAGTGAGGGGCACGGAGGAGTCAGCAGAAGTTAGAAAAGGTTCGATTCAGAGGCTTTTTGCAGCCCTGCATTTTTGTTAGTGATTCAAGAAGGGGCACTCTCCAAGGGCATTCACGAAGGAAGGTCATTTGTAGGACAGGGAGTTATCTTTTCACTACTCGTTAGTGTGCGCCAGTGAACACTGCCATTGTGGACTATGAATGTGGTCACACCCAACATCAAGGAGTGACCAGAGGACACCGTGAGAACACCCAGAGAACTCCTGCGGTCCCACTCTGAGATTCACCATCTCCCTAGACTCCTCCTGGGCTCTGGTGGGGAAACGGGATTCTTGATAGCGGTTGCTCAGGTGGCCCCTGTGCAGAGCGACAGCGCCATCTGGAGGCCACACATGCAACATATTTAGCACCTAATCTCCCACATTCCCGTTTCTCGTTTGGGGCCATCGCCCAGCCCATTTGCCTCCTTTCCCTCCCTATACCACGCTCGAATTCAGCTGGTGGGGTGTGGGGGCAGCCAGCCCGGAGCCCCCCTCTGTGCTGCCCCACACTGGACTCTCACAGCTGCCCAGCCCGCGTCCACATACCGAAAGCTCCCTCGGATCGAAGCCACTCTTTGACTGTCTAATCCTGTTAGGAAAAATAAAATGTACTCTAGGAAGTGAGAGAATGGCAGGGAAAGAAAACAAAGGAAGCTTGGATCATAACAGTCCCCCCATGCCCGCGTTCTCCGGTTCCACAGTGGTGTGCCTTAATGGCAGTGTCGGCAAAAGCCTGAGGGATGCCCCGTAAGGGTGAAAAGCAAGTCCAAGGAGGGAGGGAGGGTGAGCTGGGAGCTGAGAGGGGCATCTGTGCACTGGGACCTGTGGAGAACGGACTGACGTGCACTGGGGCGTGGTGCAGGGCAGGGAGGAACGTCCATCTCCACTGGAAAGTGACAGTTTTCACCAGGTTTGCTTTCATCTCTTCTATTTAACTGTTGGCCAAAAATTGCCAATAGGGTGCTGTGTGCCTGGCCCACAACTCAACAGGATTAGGTGACAGGTCATCTGCACTAACTAGCTAATCCATGCAAATGGAATTAAAGTTTAAGGTAATTATATTAAGAAGCTGAGGACAGGGCTCTGGAAGGACCAGGCAGGGGTTCAGCGTCTCGCCATGGGAGATCCAGACCGGCTGTCTCTTCCTCCCTAGGAAAATGGAGAGACAGCATTAGTGAGAGTGAGAGCTCCGTTGCTCACCCCCATTGCAGGTGACCACCAAGGTGCCCTGTCTGGGACTCTCATTTGCATCCTGCATCACAGAGAGCAGAATTTTTCTTTCCACTCTCCCAGTCTCCTTTAGCAAGTGCTAATTGAAACCACAGAACTACACAGTAAGGGCACTTGAGTTGGAGTCCCAGGACACAGCTAGCTGGTGCCTGCCACGATGATGTTGCATTTTGTGGGTGAAAGCTCTCACTAGACTGCTGCGCTTTGAAGGAGCGCTTTATTTGTACTAGTGAGCCCGGGGTAACTGAGGGACACCACTAACAGAGACAGGAACAATACTTCTGGAGAGATTTAGTGTGATGCGCACACCAGTTGCTACGTGCACCAGAAAGGAACCCAGCGAGGCCATGGTTCTCCTGGCCCATCCTCTTCTTGTCCCTCTCTTGTGCCACACACATCAAGAAGAGTCAGTAAAACAGACAGGAATCTAAACGTTGACTGAGAGGACCTGAAAACCATAAATTGATGTGGATTTTTGCACTAATACAATTTGAAATGAAAAAGAGCCGAGTGGGCCATCAGATTGTGTGGGAGTCACAGCTGGGCAGCAGTGTGAGGCAAGCCAGGGTGTGGACCTTGGCAGAGAAGCTGAGCTGCCACTCAGACTGACCTGGGGGAACTGTGCTGTTCTGGGTGAAGTTATTTCCGCTTCTTTTTTTGCATTCAAATTTTACTTGCTTTCTCCTTTCTTTTCTCAGGTTGTGGATGAAAAACTGACCTATCAAAGATTTTGTTTGGACTAGGAACCCTCAGTAGGCAAAGAGATATGAGGAATGTGCTATGCATCAGCGTTCAGGCCTGCACTGAGGTCACCCTGGCCTGCCTGCTGCTGTGCCCTCTGGGTTACTCGTGATGCACGCTGAGGTTAGAGCTGCTTCTAGAAGTTAGCAGCTTAACATGGGCTCTCACTCCCTGGACTTTACCTTTTGCCTAACTATGCTTGGAGTGATCAAAGGATGTCTGTGTTTTGACCATGTCATTTATGAAATGTTATTTTCACAACTAAGAATATTTGTAGAAGACCAGCCTCTGGAGCCATCTCAGAAATCATCCTCCCCCCAGGAAAGCCACTTTCCCATGGGCTGTGCATGACCAGAGATGCAGGAGCAGGGCCCTGTCCCTCTGGGGTAGATGGACTCTGCTTTACCGTCCACCTCACACCCTAAAAGCTAGGCTCTGTCCTCTCTAGAAAGAGCTTTGTTCCAGAAAAGTTGTGCAAACACTGTTTCAGAAAACAAAGCCCAGCTGCACTGGGGTGGATTATGGTCCCAGTGTACATGTAAGATGAGGTAAGTAGCATTTTGACTCCTTGATGCCTCTTTCTGGAATTAAATGCTGAACATATGATATTACTTTATATCATTGTACCCACAGTTTATTGAGAATCTACCTCATTCATCTGTTTTCTTTTTTGTACTCACAGCCAACCCCTGAGTACAAGCGCTTATCCTGATTTTACAGTTGCACAATCAAAAGGTCAGAGGGGTTGAGTAATTTTCCCAAAGTCAGCCAGCAGGCAGAAAGGAGCCAAGAGGAGAAGTGGTAGCATGGTTGCTTCTGTTTCACACTTTTCCTCTTAGACTTTGTGCCTGTTTGCGCCATCTGACCTGAGCTTGTGGGCCCCGGTGATCTACCAGGCTGAGTGGGCTTAGCCTGCAAAGCTTGCTGTTCCTTCCACTGAGGGTGGGAAGCTAAGAGACCCCACAGAAAGCATACACCCATGTCTTCTCCCAGGCGACATCACACAGCTGCGAAGAGCACTCAAGGAGGCAAACGGTCCCTTTCTGCACTTGGAAATAAGATGCTGTTCCAATCGACAGAAGGACCTGCCAGTTCTGTCAGCCCCAATCCTGATGGCCACACTGGATGCCAAATCAGCGCTTCTGCCTCGCCACTAACTTCCAGGAGTATAAAGAAGGGCAGGAAGCAAGAGCGGGCCTAGTGACGTTAAGTGCTGCAGACTCTGTCCCACTGCCGCCTTCCTGCCCCAAACCCTCCTGGTCTCTGAGGGACTGTTTTTTTTTTTTTTT